ACCTCGTCACATTTCATCACTCATCTCATCACACAATGTTTGCCCGACGTGGGAATCGAACCCACGACTCTAGGCGCAACAACTTATTATAGACACAAAAAAAATCCTGTAAGATATTGAATTATACCCAATATAGATGATTCAATATTGAATCTTAGGGGACCAACCCGTGTTCAAACATGCAAAGATTTCTTCATGTACAGAGATAAATTAAATTTGGAATTTTTGCATAAAACATCAAATCTATAGTTTATGAGGTGATGAAATATTACCGTTGGAAATGAGATTTTAGATAAAGATACGCACACTTTGGATAACAATAAAATATTTTTTATTTATTTAAGATTTAAATTTACCATCTCGAATGCAGTCATTGAAGACGTAAAAGACTTTGTCTACCTCGGTAGGGCTATCCAGCTTGACCGGGGTAACTTCGATACAGAGATTGAGAGACGCATACGACTGGGCTGGTCGGCATTTGGGAAATTCCGTGCAATCCTCACCTCGCAAATTCCTCAATGCCTGAAGACAAAAGTATTTAATCAGTCCGTTCTCCCCGCGATGACCTATGGCGCGGAAACCTGGACACTGACGGCGGGGCAGGCCCATAAGCTAAGAGTCACACAGCGGACGATGGAGCTATGCTAGGTGTTTCTCTAAGGGACAAAATCTGGAACGAAGAAATTCGACGGAGAACCAAAGTCGACGACATAGCTCTAAAAGTTAGTAGTGGCAATGGGCTGGTCACATCTGTCGAGCCAGCGACGCCAGGTGGGGGAGGAAAGTCCTCGAATGGAGGCCACGGATGGGTACCAGGAGCGTGGGGCGTCCTGCAACCAGGTGGACCGACGACTTAGTGCGCACGGCGGGAAGTCGTTGGATGCGGAAGGTGGAGAACCGCATTCTGTGGAAGGCATTGGGGAAGGCCTATATCCAGCAGTGGGCAGATAGATACTGATGATGATGATAATGATGATGAATATTTAAATTATTCTGAACAAGTATTTATCTCTGAACTCCTAAATGGCTGTAGGTACCGGTTTTGATTAGTTTTCATGTGCTTCAGTGGGTTCGTAGATGATTTAGATTTACAGTTTGATCCGGTAGGTGGCGCTGCAAGCGTTTTGCTTTTATTGCTTATTTTGGGTGGACGACCTCTCGGCCCATCTGGTGTAAAGATGTTACCGGATGATATAAACATTAAAAACGTAAATGCAGCTACCTAGCTTGACACATGAGCTCCAAGTCTCAGTTTTACAATAGAACGGCTGCCCACCCTTCAAACCAAAATGCATTACTGCTTCACGGTAGAAATAGGCAGGGGGCGTGCGTTCCCAGTATATTTACAGGAACAACATTTACATGGCCCGCTTATTTATAATAAAGACAGATAAATCATTTTTTTTTTTTTTATAATATTATATATATTTATATGATTTGACGAGCGATGCTCTATACCCGAAGATCGAAAAATTAGACCTTAAAAAATTTAGTAGTTATTATTGAAAACTGGTAATAAAACCATATTATATTAATTGTGTGGCGCTGACTACCACAGTAAATGACTTTATTTTAATGAAAATATGTATAGGTACTTTAAAAAAATTATGCGTACATTTTGCTATCACGAACCGTGCTAAGAATAATTTTAAGGCGCCCCGAACATAAAAAACTCATCAACATAAAATACTGCGGTAATGATTTGACGATACTTATATTACCGAGCTATTAATATAGTAGACAATTTGAATAAGCTATTTTATTGATTTATTCTCGTTCATATTATTCTTATTTCACAACGAATTCCGCTTTAATCACTTTGCGTTTAGGTATCTACGCTTCAAATAACCTGAATAATAAGCAAATTGAATGCGGAATTCTAGTGGATTTAAATTCTGATCTCTCGAACGTAATGAGAAAAATCGATTTCCTGTAGGTCAACGGAAATCGATAGTCGAAATCGAAAAGGGCAAAGCGAACGTTTCTCCGTTAAACAGCCACTGCGACGACGGGCTTAGATATTAGTAGGAAATTAAATTTTGCGAGACTCCACCTAACTGGGGTGTTCAGAAAAAAAAACCAATTGGCGTGTAATGAGACGTATAATACGAAATCGTATGTATGCATGGGAGTCATGCTAGCGAAAGTTGAGCTCTATTAGACTTATCCGAAAGCGTCATAAATAAATTAAATAAAATAATAGGTTAACTACCTATGGTTTCAAATGGCCTGTATTGTAAAATGGCAATATCTTTATGTATGGCTGAATGGCTGACAATAAATTCTAAATTCAAATGAATTCTATTTTAAAAATATGTTTTTTTTTTAAAGTTAGTTAACCCCATGGTCACCCAAAAATTATAGTCAACAACGACAGATTAAAGGCGACAAAGTTGACGACACCCAGTAAAAACAATATTGGTCCTTTTGCATAAAATCAGCAAGGCGTCAAAGTATGCCTTGCGTTGCTTTTCTTAGTCGTTTGCACTTTTGGAAGACCATCGTTGCGACGAACGATCCGTTGGCGTCAAATTGGCAATGTAAAAAAATTTATAAGTGTGTGCGTTTCTTAAAAGATACAGATACAATGAGCTTGGAACCCTATTGTCACTGGCGATTCAAAATGGATTGCTTTTGATAATGGTAAGCGGTCAGCTTGTTGGTTGAGCCCTGGTTGAGCACCTAGGCAATGCCACAAATGAAAACTAACCCCAAAAATGTGTTAATCACTTTTTGGGGGTCTAGTGCTAATCTAATCCGTCACACTTCTTACCAACCACTTACACAGCACGCATCATAGCTTTCTACCGCTGCTCCTATACAACAACGGCTGGTCTCGCCTGGTACGGCACAACAGGCGGTCTCTAAGCTACAAGAGCTAGAATTAAAAGTTTTGCGTCATCTAGCGTAGTCAACAGACTTTACGCCGACAGACTTCTACTTTTTCTTGGCAGGAAAAAAATTAAATACCCGAGAGGCAGTACAAAATGCCTTTTAAAGAGTGCTTATTACCTTACACCTGTCTTGTACGACATGGGCATTGAAAAATTTTCACTGCGCTGGCAGATACGTATTAATATGACGTGCCTAGTTTGATTGATTGTAAAAAAATATTTATGATAAAATTAATTTTGCTGTCTGTATTTAAACTAAAAAGAAATTTCATAGATAAATTACATCTTTTATCTATGTACATCTTACAAATTAGCATTTTTTTTTCTCATTTACTGGATAGTAGCTCGTGACCCACTTAGTTTTAAATGGTTAGTGACCCATAAACGTGACACCACTCGCCTTGAGATATGATGGTACCGTCTCAATTGTATTGCATAACGGCTACCTCACCCTTCCGACGACTGTAGTTAAACCCACTGTGAGAATAAACTGAACTATGTATTACCTACGTAACTTGATAGTTCACCACTTTCTGGTTCTGTCACTATTAATGCTTGATGTAAATTATTGCGAGCTGCGTGTACAATAATAACGAGCTATCACCAACAAACTACTTATCTAAATTAAATCTCTACCAACCCAGGAAACTGTTGACGGCTTCATTTTAATCACCGTTTTGTTATAATTGCAATACCTAGGTATAGAGTCAAACAAAATTAAAATGTTAGAGTAATTAATGCATAAATAATTATTTTTGATTATATTATATTTCCATTCGTTATCAACTTTTACACATATTATTTCACTGACGTGAATTTCGTATCGTAATTTGCGGTTACGTAATAATTCGCAAGGTAAATACGAGTTGTAAAGTAAGCAATGATCATAAAATGCAGAAATAAGTTTTTATTATCGTTTTTTTTTTTTCGGGCCGTGGGCCGAACCTCCTACGAGGTCCCCGCGCCCAGGGGGCGCGCGGGGTATGTGAGACTCAACGATCTACAGGTGTTGAAAGCAGATCGCGGGCCCAAGGATTTTATAGTTTTTATTATCCTAATCTAACGATTTTTCATTAATTATTACGAAACAATTCTTATAGTGGCAAAATTATAAATAATAAACACGGAGGTACCCTACTATCTGAAAATGTAACAATTAAAGGCAGACGAGGTAAACTGCTCACTACGAGCGTCGGTGGATGCCACAATGTCAAGACCAGCGTTCGCCTTGAAACATGAGGCTGTATCTCGATCATAAATAATACACATAAATTAGTTATTAGTTATAGATAAGCAACTCAAGCACTCAACAAAAATGTTTACGGGCGTCAGCCACTAGATGGCTTCGCTTCGATTAGTTTCTCATTGCTCCTGTAGATGACAGTAACATATTACCTATCCTAAATTTTACTTTTAATGAAGGGTTTTGTAAATTTTCAGAAACCACAACAATTCTATAACAAATAAAGACTTGTATGATTTTTTCTGTGTTTAGTTATACAACAATTAACTTTAACAACATATAAGTTTAGGGGCATCCGCTACAAGATGTCACTAGTTTCCGTACAGAAAAAATATTTGTCATAAAGTATTGAAGTTTCAGGGTCCTGATCTCGATTTAGACAGCTTCAAGCCGAAGTAAATGATCGTTTCGTCGCAACGAGCAGGGTGATCGAAATAGGTACTTACCTGTTTCAGCCTTCAGTATGCCCTAACACCAGTAATAACGCAAATAATATTTATCCATTAGGTATTTTTCTTTTTAAAATTATGTTGGTATTAAGGATATTATTACGTAACAAATACAAGTAGGTATTAACAAATTTCCATTTTTTTTTTAATGGCAAATACTTTCAGCAATTTCTGCCAGTGTAAAATTGTTAAACCAATACTTCTCAAACAAACACAAATAAATTCCATTTCGTATACGACTTGTAGGATGCTTAGGTCAATCGCTTTTAATAATAAAAGTAGCACAAAATTGAGAATACTGGCTGATGTCCTGAATGATTTGAGAATCAGATAAACTGCAATTTAAGGACGTCGATAGAATCTTCTGTTTAGCATATTCTCATAGTTTTCAAATTTAGAAATAAAAAACATTTGTAACATGAAACAATTTATTAGCATTACATTATAAATAATAAATTATACTTCAAAACCGTACATTATTGTAGACTATTCACGCGTGCAAAGCTAAAATGTCCAAACATAACCATATTTTTAATTTATCACATCTTCAATTAGTAACAAATCTTTTAGTTGTATATTTAGATTATAATAATATTTATCAGATCAATCATGTGCTGATAATATCAGTGACAAGGCCTGCTGCTATGGTGACACCTGCGACGCGTAACATAACACGACCAAGCTCCTTAACATCTTTATATCTCTCGATGCATATGGGCCTGCTGGTCTCAATTTCAACAACTGCCACAGAATTATTTCCTAAGCAACGAGGTTTCTTTTTAATTAGCTCACCGGTACTTTTGCTGAGTAATGCCTTAAGCTTGACAATATTAGCAGATTCCACCAATGATTGATAGTGAACAAGCACTGGAAAGCCTTTTGTTATTGGTACTTTAACATTGAAAACTACTATTCGGGCCTCGAAACGTGTTGTAACAGAAACCTGCTCAACAGGATCGCTGAGTATGTATCCAACTGACACATTCTGCATGTCCACCCCAGACAAAGTCAATGTGACTTGGTCTCCAGCAAATGCTACATTATTAGTAAGATCATTTATACTTAAACTTCTAACTTCAGCCATTTCTTTTGTTGGACAAACCAATACTTTATCGCCCTTCTTTAGAACTCCGTTTTCAATGCGTCCCGAAACACAAAATCCAGAACCGGTACCTTTGAACACATCATTGATTGAAATACGTAATGGCTTAGACACAGGCCTCTCTGGAACATTGAATTTGTCAATCACATCTAAAAGACAGGGTCCTTTGTACCATTTAGTTAATTCAGGTTCGCTTGCTGGTTTCACAAGATTCTCACCAATGAGTCCTGAACAAGGCACATAGGTGACATCTGTATCTTTGAATCCTGCTTGTTTCAAAAAAACCTTAAGTTTATTGGTGATTTCATTAAATCTGTCTTGAGACCAGTTGGCTGTATCCAGTTTGTTAATGGCAACAGCCAGCTGACTTACACCAAGTGACCTCACTAGTAATGCATGTTCTCTTGTTTGACCACCGAAATCGAATCCGGATTCAAACTCTCCCCTAGTTGCATCAACTACCAACATAGCAACATCAGCTTGACCAGCACCAGTTATCATATTAGGGATAAAATCAGCATGCCCTGGTGCATCTAATATTATAACCCTCTTTGTCTTTGTTTCAATCTGGGCACGCCCAATATCCATAGTGATGCCTCGGACTCTTTCCTCTCCTGTTTCATCAAGCACCCAGGCATACATAAAGCTTTGCTTTCCAATCTTTTTACTCTCCTGTTCATATTTGTGCAAAGTTTTTTGACTGACTTCTCCGAGCTCACATAATAATCTGCCCATTAATGTAGATTTTCCTGCATCAACATGACCTATCACGACAATGTACAAATGATCTTTGTCAGAACCTCTCTCATTGGCATATTGTTTTTTTGCATCAATTTTGTTCTCTTTTACTTTTAAATTTTTCATGTCATCATTTTGTTCAGTCTTGCTTTTTTCTGGGTGAGGAGACTGCCCTCTAGGTGTCTGAGGGCGACTATTAGGCTTTGGCTCTTGGTCCACTTTAAAACCCTTGATTACAGCACTCTTCTGATCTACACTTGTAGCTATAACTTTAGGAGCTACTAATGCTGTTGTGGTTTTCACTGTATTAGTAATAATAGGCTTAACTGGTTTAGATGTGGATGAATCTTTATTTTTACTCTTATCACTATTAAGTATATCGTCTAAAGCTTTATTGTAATCAAAATTATGTTTAAGCACACTCTGAATCATTGTATTTTCCGATACTGTATCACCTAAAATATTCCGAAGTTCATCTAAGCAAGACATGAGCCTGGTTTCATCTTCCGCTTCAAGCTTGAGGCTGCGGAGGTCGGTAGACTCTCTTCGTTGTGGGCCCGGAACTTGAACATCTTTAACTTCATCTTCGGCTTCCTCCTGGATATTGCTGTGTCTATCGAGAAGGTTAGATATCACCTGTTGGTTTCGTGATCGGTCGTAGATCCATTGCGACGCATCACTTGGAGATAAACAACTATCCTCTTCCACTGAATGTCCATAAAAATCATCGTCATCATAGTCATCAGAGTAACTTCTGTTCCGAATGTTACGATGTCGAGCCATTGTTCATTAATAATATCAAAAGTGTTCCTATGTTACAGAAACCATATTTGCAATAAATGGATGTTTTTCGGAAAAACTCGCAAAATAAATAACACGTTTCGTTTTGGGTTAGTGACAGCGAATGACAGCAGCTTTTTTGACATTAGTCGTTTTACTTTTTCGATACAGAAAAGGCGAAAATATCACACCGAATCCAGTGGAATCTTTTGTGTGATTATTCTACCCGATGATATGCAGGCGAAGTAAAATGTCCCTTAGAAATAAGGTGACACTCTACAAAACTTGCATACGCCCCGTCATGACCTATGCAAGTGTAGTGTTCGCTCACGCGGCCCGCACTCACTTAAAATCATTCCAAATCATTCAATCCCGTTTTTGCAGGATAGCCGTCGGAGCCCCGTGGTTCGGCAGGAACGTCGACCTCCATGACGACCTGGACTTAGAGTCCATCAGTAAGTATCTGCAGTCGGCGTCGATGCGCCACTTCGATAAAGCGGCACGACACGAGAACCCTCTCATCGTGGCCGCCGGTAACTACATTCCCGATCCTGCAGAAAGAATGGAAAGCAGTCGACATCGCCCAAAACACGTCATCTCGGATCCTCCCGATCCACTAACGGTGCTTTTAGGTACTTCAAGCACCGGTCATCGTTCTCGTCGAACCCGTCGCTTGCGACGAAGGGCTCGACGAGTAAATTAACTCTCAGACACAGCCCACTGAGTTTCTCGCCGGATCTTCTCAGTGGGTCGCGTTTCCGATCCGGTGGTAGATTCTNGCAGTCGACGTCGCCCAAAACACGTCATCTCGGATCCTCCCGATCCACTAACGGTGCTTTTAGGTACTTCAAGCACCGGTCATCGTTCTCGTCGAACCCGTCGCTTGCGACGAAGGGCTCGACGAGTAAATTAACTCTCAGACACAGCCCACTGAGTTTCTCGCCGGATCTTCTCAGTGGGTCGCGTTTCCGATCCGGTGGTAGATTCTGCGAAGCACGGCTCTTGCTAGGGCTCGTGTTAGCAACGTCACAGGTTAGAGCCCCGCGAGCTCACTTACTCGTCAAGTTACGCAAGAATAACGTTCTAAGATACCAGCATAGGTAGGAAAAAAAAGAACGCATTGAAGTCATGTCAATATCACCAATTTGAGGAAGCTCGAAATCCCAATTCTCCGGACGCGGTCATGAAATAATATCTCGACAGATCCTCTGGTCTCCATAATTTTATCTATGAATTGCCAAGTAAATATAAATTAATGTAAATGAGGTTCATTCGTGAAGCAGTTGCCTTTGAGTTGTTAGTTTTCTCCGGAGGCCCTCAGGAGGCTGTTAGCAATTACCGTCGCTCCTGGCTGAGCCGGTGCTCGCTTGTGAAACTGGAAAAGCCACCAGGACACCAGTAATCCTTTCTCTAATTTTTTTTTCCATTATGAATGTGAAAATATTTAAAATGCTTCAAATGCTAAATACTGCTTAACCAGAGTTGCGTTTCTCTATTGTTTCAGTAAAGATTAGCATCACCCATCTCTTGCAAGTTAAACATCAAAAGCACGTGATACGTTAACTCAGCTCGTTGTTTCAAAACTAAACGTCGGTTTTTCAATCATTAATTGTACATATATCAAGTAAAAATACTATCCCACCTGTATTGTTGATTTTTAGTAATTCCACAATATAGCATCACCCATCTCTTGCAAATTAAATATCAAAAGCACGTGATACGTTAACTTAGCTCCTTGTTTCAAAACTAAACGTCGGTTTTTCAATCATTAATTGTACATATATCAAGTAAAAATACTATCCCACCTGTATTGTTGATTTTTAGTAATTCCACAATATCTAAATGGTTCTGGCGTTTTATTACACAGTCATTAATTATTTGGACCTTTCGATGGAAACGCGAGATGGAAAGTAGTGTGAATATTTTTATTTTGTTAATTTAATGTATCTAAAAATTTAAATATGTATTAACGGTGATTGAGCATCTGCCAAAGTGCGCAAACGTGAAACAATGAAACAAAACCGCTGAACGTAGCTTCCCGGATTCATTTATAAAGTCTACTGAAATGGTCTCAATAAATAACCACGATTTAATTATGACTTTATTTCATCCTATATCATATCGGTTCAATTGTATTTATTAAATTGTCAATTGACTAAAGTTTCAAATTAATCAACTCCCTCTCATTTCACTTCACGTATCATGTTTATTAATGTAACAGATTTTAAAAAAAACTTAAGACTCGGTCTAAGAGTCTCGTTACCAGACCATAAAATATTTAAAAAAAAAATAGTCATTGATGTCAATGTCAAATATCCAAAGTTCCAAAATCAACCTCAATCAAATCATCAACTAAACTTGACAGTTAGTGAAGTCAATGAACAGAGGAAAACTACGCCTCCTGTTTTAATTTTAATATAGAAATTTTAATTATCTACCCGTAACATACATCGAAGTGGTCATAACGAAGTTTGTTCTAGACGATTCATAACTGTTAACTCGCATACAAGTTAACATAACATTGAGAGTTAGCAAAAATCAAAAACAAAGATTTGAACCCCTGACCTAGAACATTTTTTTCCAAAATGAAGAAAAAGGTAAACTTAAACAAAGAGGAATCAGTTTTCAATTTGGCAACAAACTCGTTACCTTAGTTTATACAATATACAACAAAAAAAATTGGTGATTGCAGGTACTATTAATGGGAAAAAGTGGTTCTGGTAAAACCAGTATGAGGTCTATCATATTCGCCAATTATATAGCAAGGGATACAAGACGCCTCGGAGCAACAAGTAAGTCACTTATAGCAATAATTACTAAAACGATTTAAAAAATTCATTTACAAAATAGTCACAATGGTGACAGTAAAGTATTTGTACATTGAATATAATATGACTTTTTAATTAAACAATTAAGTCTGGACTTGTAAAAGTTCTTGCAGAGCTATAATTTTTTTGATTACACATTATTTAAGTATAGAGATAAAGAAATAGTTTTGTTGTGTATATTTATTATATTGTAAATGTGCCGTTTAATAAATTTTTTCAGTTGACGTTGAACATTCACATGTCCGTTTCCTCGGTAATTTGGTTCTCAACTTATGGGATTGTGGTGGTCAGGAAGCTTTCATGGAAAACTATTTTGCATCACAAAGAGACAATATATTCAGGAATGTTGAAGTTCTGATATATGTTTTTGATGTAGAAAGTCGTGAAATGGAAAAAGATATGCATTACTACCAGTCTTGTCTTGAGGCGATTTTACAGGTTAACATTTTTATATTTTACAGTTACTACTTTTTTATTATCATGTAGACAGACAGCCCTCCGATAGTGAGTGAACAGTGCTGTTCATAGATATCAATGCCAGGAGAACAGCTAAGCTGCTGCCTACTAACCTACTAACATCACACAATATTCTATTGTTTTATCCTTTATTGCTCTTATGTTATTATAAATATGTGGATACTACTACCAGGGATCAGTTCCCATAATAATAACTTGGAACTGCTAGTATTTCATACCTACATTTTTTCATAATTTGCTAGTAACACTTCTAGTAAACAAAATTAATATCTCAATGAGTTTTGTTCAGTTGTAAGCTAATTTATTACTGTGTAGCTAACAATACAGAGCATTTTAAATTTGCTGAGTTTTTAGCAGAGACAAGAAACTAAAAACTGAACCTGAAATTGAAAATATCATAACAATTTTCTCACATTTTTGTATATGCTGTATTAACTATTCATATATATATATCACATCTATCTGACAAAATTCTTAGAAGATTCCTTGTATTTCCCCTCTTTGCGAGTCATCTATGACTACTTAATTATATACATGGTATCACTACATAAAAACTACTCTTAAGGTTTGATCTATTTCATGGTTTAATTCACTGTCCTTATGCACGAAAAGTGTTTGAAACATCTGATATAAAGACAAAATAAATGCAACATTATAACATAAAAGTAGTTTTGATTATTTTCTTATTAGTAATTCAGTATTTTGTATCTTATCTTAAAAAGAAAATTTACAGTATTGTTAACTAAACTGTGACAATTTTTTACACTTGAGCTAACTATTGATTTAATGAAAAATTTAATGTCATACCAATTCTAAAATCTTAATAGGCCTTTCAAACAAAACACTTTATTTGGAAATATTGCTTGAATTTACATAACACCTGTAAACACATACCTTTCTTTCCTAGTATAGAACTCTCCAGAAGCCAGGATATTCTGTTTAGTACACAAAATGGACTTAGTGGCAGAAGAACAAAGAGAAGAAATATTCAGAGCAAGGGAAGAAGATTTAAAAGGGCTTTCCAAACCATTAGAATGCACTTGCTTTAGGACCAGTATCTGGGATGAGACATTGTATAAGTAAGATATTAATGATAACTTTTTTATTTTATTATTATGGAGACATTTGTTTTTGTTTAAAAATGATGATATCAAAGGGTCAAAGGCTATTTATTTGGTTTAAGCGACTTTTATTTTTATTTTTTATTTTATTTTATTGCTTAGATGCCCCCCATCTCACAGCACACCTGGTGTTAAGTGGTTACTGGAGCCCATAGAAATCTACAACGTCAATGTGCCACCCACCTTGAGATATAAGTTCTAAGGTCTCACGTATAGTTACAACGGCTGCCCCACCCTTCAAACCGAAACGCATTACTGCTTCACGGCAGAAATAGGCAGGGCGGTGGTACCTACCCGTGCGGACTCACAAGAGGTCCTACCACCAGTGAAAATTTCACTTAATATGTGACATTTATCTTTGTAATTAAAGTTCCGTTTTATTTGACATTAATATCAACAATTGGGTGTTTTTAATTGAACTTAAATTAAGTTTACCCTCATTGAAAGAGCTGAAGAAGTTTTTTTGTTATGATATTTATTCCCAAATTTTAAACTTTAAATGGCTCTCCTGTAAAATTGCAAAAATGTCGCTTAAGCAAAATAGCTTTTCACCTTTCGATATACTTCATCTAGTGCTAATAAAGCACATAACATGAGATATCGAGACGTTTACGAATGACTTCCACAACTTCCATAACATCATTTAATAAAAATCAAACCAAAAATTTTCATAATTACTATATAATTGAAATATAGACCATAAGTCTCATGGTGTGTGCCGAGTTTTTTTTTTATTGCCCTTGTAGGCAGATGAGCGTACGGCCCAACTGATGGTAAGTGGTTACCGTCGCCCATGGATGCAATGCAAGAGGCAGCCAGTAGCAGAGCCAATCCGCTCCCTACCGTAATTCTAATTATGATGTCTATAGGCCAATAATCACTTCACGCCGGCAGTTAGCTTATTAGTCTAAGTAATAATTTAATCTAGATGTTTAAAACGTATCTGTGTTTATTGCTGTTCTATTTTATTAGAACACTCCCGAGTCGATAATTAATCTGTAAAATATAAACCTCTATGTTCAGATTATCAAAAATATTCCTCAAATAAGGACAAACGTCATCATAAATTCGGCACGTGTAATAAAAAAAATAAAAAAAAATAACGCACACACAGCACCTATTGCATTTATTTAATTTATTTTAGACTTTTCGTGATATTATGAAGAATTTGTAAATCGCGTTTTTAGACACTTGCCCAATATTTAAGTGCGATAATAAAGTGTTTGGTATGTGATAATATAAATACATACTATACTACTACTTAAATAACAGTTATCTAATAATGTTGTTGCAATGACACACACACACATATCGGAACAATGGATTGCATTTACTAAACACAAACATAAATACGTATCAACCACATATTTGTGAGTCATATACCGAAATTGTGTAACTGTAGATAATTTTGTTAATTAATTAGTATTACAAATGGAGCGCGGTATGTTTCACCATCATCAAAGCTTCATCGATAGTGTTAACCGACAAATCGATAAGTACTTGACCGGGTATTTCCGGCGTCGATGGATGGAACAAAAGTCATGGTTGTTGCGCGTTCGATTTAGGACTATCTTGACTACTATTTTTGCCTACCTATTGCTAGTAACCTCGAGGGGTTATGCTAGGTTCGTCGAACGTTTAGGCGAACTCACGGAACCCAGCCTGACGAATTTGCTAATACTAACCCTAGCAAGGGCAGTGCTTCGCTGAATCTGCCACGGGATAGGAATCGCGACCCATTGAGAAGATCCAGTGAGAAACTCAGTAGACCGCCATACTGGTCCTCCAAAACATTGGCAGCTAAGGGACTCTACGGCGCAAGAGTTCATCGACCTCGCGCCTTAATTGATTATTTGCAGCGACTTCGATAGGCAAAGCAACCCTTGTATGTCAAGTTGTCAGACATTACATCGAAACACATGTACATACTTGACCAAACACTCTTGGTCAATGCAAGAGACTATTTAGAACTGTCAAATTAACGTATTGTTACGCCGGTAAGAGTAACGCCATCTATCGCCGAATAGTCGAACGAATATCGAAGGATGTAGTAGCACCTAGAACGCTCGTGAAGAACAACAACATCTATTGTCAGATAGCGGAATCTACTACTAAAGATGTTTGGAATATTCTCGATAATTCTAGGGATGAGGTATCGGCTATAAAAGCGTTGTAGAGATGGCACGCAGTCAGTCAGTAATCGGAACTACTCGAAGCGAAATAGCGAACGGATCACCTGAAGCGAAGCAAATTAAGAATTTGAAAGTGTTTGTGAAGTGTTCCAAGTCTTGAATACAGTTTTAAGTTGTACTTTGGTGAAATTTTATTTATCCCGAACCCCAGCGCGTAACAGTATTATAAACAAATGGATCGATTGAATGCGAACCCCCAACAAATAAATGATGTAGTCGTGATTTTTTTTTAAACAATCATGCCACGTTAACTGGTCCCGTGATAAGTTCGTAAAGAACTTGTGTTACAGGTACCAGATAACGGAAATAAATGTAAGATCAGTCTCTGCGCTGCACTCGCACGAGGTGCTAGTGTGTTGTTTATTTAAAAATACGTTCCGCGCATCGGTCAGCGCGTTGCTGGGGGCATACCCAACACCGTTGGGTAGCCGGCGACCGCGCCGCTGATAACGAGGGTAGATAATCAACACGAAACAATGGATGTGCGGTCGAGCAGGAGTACTTTGAGTGAGCAGGAGTTGATTGGTGATGAGGTAGAACAATTTCAAGAAGAGAATTCTATGCAAGAGATGAATGCGATGGAGGATTGGTTAAGACCAGAGAAGAGAAAAGATGTCAACAGTGACGATGAATGGACAACGATTAAATCGAAGCAGAAGAAGCTTAAACCGGAAGTTGAGAAAATAGAGATGTACTTAACTGGTAGTGAGCCGCTGCCGAAACAATTTTCTTTAGCGAAAATATTTTGTGAGATGGATATTACCGATGTGGACCGCGTAAAATATGTTAACCCATACAAAGTGCGTATCGATGTACAGAACCCACTGAGCGCAGAGAGGATTGAAAAAAGTTCTAAGATAGCAGATAAAGGCTGGCGTGTACAAAGAGCTATGGAGAAGAATTTATCATATGGTGTTATTCGCGACATAGACTTGGAAATATCCGACAAAGAGATTTTTGACACAATATCGTGCCCCAAACCAGCAGAACTGGTATCTATATTCCGTCTCAACCGGCGCAGTAGCTCGGGCGACGGATGGGTACCTAGTGAGTCGGTGCGGTTATGTTTTAAGGGTGCGTTCATACCTGCGTATGTTTCTATAGGGGGGCTAAGAATCCGCGTGGACCGATACGTCTTCCCAGTATCCCAGTGCGGGTTGTGCTGGAAATTAGGACACCCTACAAAGAGATGTCCCACAAACAAAGAAATTTGTCCAAAGTGTGGAGGTAAACATAACAACTGTGAAACCACTACATTTAGCTGCGTCAACTGTAAAGGGGGGCATATGGCCATGTATAAAGGCTGTCCTGCATTTTTGAAAGAAAAGAGGCTTAGAGAAATCATGGCTGAATTTAATTGCACTTACAGAAAGGCTCTGACGATGTATGTAGCCCCTAGTTCTCCAGTACAGGTGCCCAAAAAGTTTAGTTTCACCGCTACCCCTGCTCCTCCGCTAATGGAGTACATCTCATCCGTGCCACCAAAAACCTTGCAGAGTAACGCACCGACTTTTGCTAGCGTCTTACAGACAAAAGCGGAGATTCACATCGAAGAAAACGCTAAACAAACACCAAGATCGGTTTCGAAAAAACAACGTCGTCGTCGTAGGGAGCCTGATGTATCTGTATTGGACTCTGCTGCTGAAGCTGAAATAGAAGAGATGCCCGGGAAAAATGTGCCTCTGGAACAGAAGGAAAGAAGAAATGTGAATTTTGTAGAGTTATTGAATAAATTGAAAGATCTTTTTTTTTTAAAAACAGTGTCGCTAGAATCTAAAGTGAAAAGTGTACTTAAGTGTTGCATCGAATGGTTGATCTTGGTTGCGGTAGACAATATTTCCGACTGGCCAGTATTGAAAAACATATTAGATCTGTTTATGGACTATGGATAAAAATAAAAAACCTGTGAAATTAACTATACTACAATGGAACGCTCAAAGTTTAAGACCTAAGTTATTAGAGTTTGAAAATATTTTATTTAAAGAGAAAGTCCACATTGCTACCGTGAGTGAAACATGGTTAGAATCGAACAATCGACTTAAAATAACTAACTATATTATTTATCGTAGGGATAGGGACGACGGCTATGGCGGGGTTGCCATTTTTGTTCACAAATCTATTAATTCACAACTTTTTGATATACAAAACAATAGTCCCGGTTTAGAAATAATAGGTATTAAGGTTCACAATTGTAGGGATATTGAATATATATTCTCCGTGTATTGTGCTCCATCGGTACGCACTAGCCAACAGGATTGGGATGTGTTATTTTCATTGGTGAGTAAAAAAGCTTTAATTTTGGGCGATTTCAATGCGCACCACACTAACTGGTCTAATAAAAGTGATGCCAGAGGATTACAAATTTTTGAGGCTATCACAGATAATAGGTTCATTTCACTAAACGATGGTAAGTCAACACGTTTACGATTTAATAACAATAACAATCAGTTGCAACATTCCGCGCCTGATATATCTTTTGTCTCCTCCGATTTAGCTTTATTATTTGACTGGCGTATTTTAAACGAAACCCTCGGCAGTGATCATTTATTTATAAAAATTACTACCTCTTTTGATGTTTTACCTAGGAATATTTTACGGCGCAATTTCAAGTTAGCCGATTGGGACGGTTATAAGACATTACTGGAATCATTATGTAGTAATTACATCGTGTCGGAGAACCTACAAATAGGGTACGATCATTTTATAGAATATCTAAATATAGCAGCAGACGTTCATGTTCCATATATTCGATATAATACAGATCCCAGTA